CTTAGATTTATATTTTTATAAAAATATAAATAATTATTGCTGTAAATTAGCCACTCATTCCTGTGTGCCTAAACAGACACTTAATAGAAAATAAATTATCAATTTGACTGAACCAAGATACTCATATCTTTGGTCTATGTTTGTATTTTGTTGTATTTTAAACTCAATGGTATTAAATTACATACATTTCTGAAGACATAATATGAACATTCTCCTTGCCTTCCCAAAGCTGTCTCTTTTCACACTAATTCTCCCGGCTCACTTTATCAGCCTTATTTTCACTATTAACCATTTCTACCTGAAAGAAGCCTATTGCTCCTAACAATCAACAATACCCCCAAATTTTAAAGTACTTCCATTTAAGGCAGTCACTGATTTTTAAAATAGATACTTTAAAATATTGATAATATACCAATAAACAGTAGGATGTAAAACTTCTTTTCTCCACCAGTTTTTGTTGGGTAACTAAGTTGTTCTCCAAAGGTTTACCCCAAATTTGAAGGAGACTAGATCAAAAGCTGTGGGACAGACTGCAGAGTAACTTGCAAATGTCCTGGGTAAGAGGGGGATGGTAGCCCTTGCATTTATGTCTTGAGTATGTTACAGAAATAAGGAAGGTTCCAAAGTAAGTGTAATATGCAGTAAGGGGAGAGGCTTTTAGGATAGTTTCAAGAAATTAAACACATTCCACACTAATGCCTGTAACAAGAACATTTATAATGAAGAAAAATTAAACTAGAAAGAGTTGTAGATATGAGAGATTTTCAATTTAGCCAGAATTCAAAATTAATTTTGTGTTTTTTTTTATAACAGATATGCCAAATTGGAAGATATAGACAATTGGATCTCTCTGGATTCTGTCACATCTGAACTTAGATTTGCAAAAATTCCTGATTTTGATTCCAGATATGTCCACAATGGTACATACACAGTAAAGATTTTGGCTATATCAGAAGGTAAGTTATTAAATAGATATTTTTCTTGGTTATATGTATTTAGATTTTCTTTTCCAACGCCAGATACCTTTGTTTTGATCCAAATCTCTCCAATGAATAAAACTGGCCATTTCTCCTTAGTAGATTAAAAGACATTACTTGATCTGAATTTGAAAACATATCTAGCATAGGGAGTGTCCTAATTTGTTAGTACCTTCTCTTTACCAAATTGGCAGGAGGATTCAAACTATTTCCTTTTTCAGCAATATAACCAGAATATACATATTTTTTCTTTCTTATTTTTAAGATTATCCCAGAAAAACGATCACTGGCACCGTTAGTATCATGGTTGAAGACGTCAATGACAATTGCCCCACACTGATCAACCCAGTGCAGACTGTCTGTGACGATGTGCAGCATGTGAACGTGACTGCAGAGGACCTGGATGGATACCCATACAGTGGGCCTTTCAGTTTCTCCATCATTGACAAACCAGCTGGAATGGCAGAAAGATGGAAAATAGTACACCAAGAAAGTAAGCAAAATCATTGGACTATGTATTTAAATATTAAAAATGATAGGGGCCGGCCCCGTGGTGTAGCGGTTAAGTGCGCACGCTGCACTGCTGGCGGCTGGGGTTCGGATCCCAGGCACACACTGACGCACCACTTGTCAGGCCATGCTTTGGGGGCATCCCATATAAAGTGGAGGAAGATGGGCACAGATGTTAGCTCAGGGCCAGTCTTCCTCAGCAAAAAGAGGAGGATTGGCTTGGATGTTAGCTCAGGGCTGATCTTCCTCACAAAAAAAATACAATAAACATGATAGAAATGTAAAGTCTTCATAATATAGGCTGTGTTTTTCTTCATAAATTATACAATACAATTTTTTAAAGGAGTTTATAAAATGAGGTTCTGAACCTCAGGCATACTGTCTTTTATCTGCCTATAATAAATACCCCATTTGGAGTAACAAGAGGGAGAGAAGAAAAATGACCTAATGTCTTGAAGATATGTAGGTATTCTCTAAATTGTCCTTAAAGTAGTTGTTTTGTCTCGTAAGCTGAGGGGTACCTTACTTGTCTAAGCATAGCAATCAGAGTAGGTGCCTTCAAAAATCTTGACTTATGGTAACAATTCCATTAAAAATAACATTTCTTGATCACTCACCATGTGCCAGGTACTCGGCTGGCCCTTCATATGCATTATCTCATTTAATCCTTACCCCATAACATCTTCTCATTACAGCTGAGGAAATCTTGGCTTAACTAGAGTTAAGTAGCTTGTTCAAAGTCACAAAGCTAGTAAGTGATGGGCACAATATGAAGAAGGTTCTGTGATTCCCCCATGCCAGATGGCCTTGTACATATATCCATATCGTGGACATATCCCTCTTATTGACATGAGCTTTTGAGTGCCCTTTAGGGTGGTTTTGAATGCAGAAAAACCTATCCAGAAGACTGTTCTGTTCTAAACAATTAGTGTTCATTTCAGAAAAGTTACAAATATAATACCCAAGTTTTTCTTAATTTACAAGTTTATTGTTATTTTAAGTCTAACAAATTTTTGCAGAGGTTTTAACAAAACCTCTGTTTTGATCAGAGGTTTTTGATCAAAACCTCTCATTTCAGAGGTTTTTGATCAAAACCTCTCATTTTAGAGGTTTTGAATGATGTTTGGTCCAATTTACAAATTAAACACCTTCAACATTTCAATGATCTGAATTAACAAATAAAACCTTCCCATGATCCTTGTATGCTAAAATTCCAGTAAGTTTAACTTATAAATACACTGAACATGAAATTCTCCTTAGTGGTCCAATACTGAACAAACTAGTGATATTTCAACCTAAAACCACATATTTCACTTTACTGCGCTTTGCAAGTGCGTTTTTTACAAATGTAAGGTTTGTGGTAACCCTGCGTCGAGCAAGTCTATCAGTGCTGTTTTTCCAAGAGCATTTGCTCACATCGTGTCTGTGTGTCACATTTTGGTAATTCTCACGATATTTCAAACTTTTTCATTATTACTATGTTTGTTATGGTGATCTGTGATCAGTGATCTTTGATGTTACTATTGTATTTGTTTTGGGGAGCCATGAACTGCGCCCGTAAAAGATGGTGAACTTAATCGGTAAATGTTGTGTGTGTTCTGACTGCTCCACTGACTGGCCATTCCCCCGTCTCTCTCCCTCTCCTCGGGTCTCCCTATTCCCTGAGACACAACAGTATTGAAATTAGGTCAATTAGTAGTCTTACAGCAGACTCTCTCTAAGTGTTCAAGTGAAAAGAAGAGTCACGCTTCTCTCACTTTAAATGAAAAGGTAGAAATGATTCAACTGAGTGAGGATTAAGCATGTTGAAAGCTGAGACAGGCCAAAAGCTAGGCCTCTTGCACCAGTTAGCCAAGTGGTGAATGCAAAGGAAAAGTTCTTGGAAATTAAAAGTGCTACTCCAGTGAACACATGAGTGATAAGAAAGCAAAACAGCCTTATTGCTGATATGGAGGAAGTTTTAGTGGTCTGGATAGAAGATCAAACCAGCCACAACATTCCCTTAAGCCAAAACCTAATCCAGAGCAAGGCCCTAACTCTCTTCAATTCTCTGAGGGCTGAGAGAGGTGAAGAAGCTGCAGAAGAAAAGTTTGAAGTAGCAGAGGTTGGTTCGTGATGTTTAAGGAAAGAAGCTGTCTCTGTAACGTAAAAGTGCAGGTGAAGCGGCAAGTGCTGATGTAGAAGCTGGAGCAAGTTATCCAGAAGATCTAAGATAATTACTGAAGGTGGTGACACTAAACAATGAATTTTCAATGTAAAAGAAACAGCCTTACATTGAAAGAAGCCATCTAGGATTTTCCCGCTAGAGAAGTCAATGCCTGGCTTCAAAGCTTCAAACGACAGACTAACTCTCTTGTTAGGGGCCAATGCAGCTTGCGACTTTAAGTTGAAGCCAATCTAAATCTACTCTGCCTGTGCTCTATATGTGGAACAACAAAGCCTGGATGACAGCATATCTGTTTACAACATGGTTGACTGAATATTTTAAGCCCACTGTTGAGACCTACTGCTCAGAAAAAAAATTCCTTTCAAAATATTACTGCTCATGGACAATGCACCTGGTCACCCAAGAGCTCTGATGGAGATGTACAACGAGATTAATGTTGTTTTCATGCCTGTTAACCCAGCATCCATTCTGCAGCCCATGAATCAAGTAGTAATTTCAACTTTCAAGTCTTATTATTTAAGAAACACAATTCATAAGGATACAGCTGCCATAGATAGTGATTCCTCTGATGGATCTGGGCAAAGTCAATTGAAAACGTAGGAAGGATTCACCATTCTAGATGCCATTAAGAACATTTGTGATTCCTGGGAAGAGGTCAAAATATCAACATTAATAGGAGTTTCAAAGAAGTTGACTTCCAACCCTCATGGATGACTTTGAGGGGTTCAAGACTTCAGTGGAGGAAGTAACTGCAGGTGTAGTGGAAATAGCAAGAGAGCTGGAATTAGAAATGGAGCCTGAAGATGTGACTGAATTGCTGCATTCTCATGGTAAAACTTGAACAGGTGAGGAGTTGCTTCTTATGGATGAGCAAAGAAAGTGGTTTCTTGAGATGGAATCTGCTCCTGGTGAAGATGCTGGGCAGAGTGTTGAAATGACAACAAAGGGTTTAGAGTATGACATAAACGTAGTTGATAAAGCAGCAGCAGGGTTTGAGAGGATTGGCTCCAATCTTGAAAGAAGCTCCACTATGAGTAAAACGCCATTAGACAGCATTGCATGCTCCAGAGAAATCGTTCGTGAAAGGAGGAGTCAATCGATGCGGCAAACTTCATTGTTGTGTTATTTTAAGAAATTGTCACAGCACCCCAAACTTCAGCAACCACCGCCCTGATCAGTCAGCAGCCATCAATATCAAGGCAAGACCTTCCACCAGCAAAAAGATTACAATGCACTGAAGGCTCAGATGATGATTAGCATTTTTTAGCAATAAAGTGTTTTTTAATTAAGATGTGTACATTGTTTTTTAGACATAATGCTGTTGCACACTTAATAGACTACAGTAGAGTGTAAACATAACTTTTATATGCACTGGGAAACCAAAAAATTTGTGTGACTCACTTTATGGCAGTGTTCACTTTATTGTGGTGATCTGGAACCAAGCCTGCAATATCTCCGAGGCTTGCCTATACACATTTTAAATTGGAGTTACAAAGCTGTCACATTAATAGGGCTAATTTTCCTAAAAATATTACAAATATATTAACACAATAACAAATACAAATAAATTCTTACAACCCAAAAATATTAAAACTATGTCTTTAATTTGCTTAAATATTTCTATACCTAATTCAGAATCTTCTTAGGGTTTATGTACTCGCTTGAAGAAGACAGCTACGCCCTCGGTTAACTCAAGTTTTCTCTCCACTAGGGATGACAGTCAGCATCCTCATTAATTGAGGTTACTCCAGATCAAGTTTTCAGCTAGCATGAGCCCTGGGTGGCAGACATCCAGATGATTCTTCCTATGGCAGTTAAGTCATAGGCCTCAAAACTTGAAGTCTTTGGTCTCCTGGCTCACAGTATCTCACTCTGTGCTCACAGGAATCTGGGACTCCTGCCTCAGCTGAATGCTTGGTTGGAGTTTGCCTTTCGTTGACTAAGATATGTAAAGGTGTTCTGCATTGAACTTGTTGGAATTCCAAGACTTTTTTATTTTATCTGAGAAATACGTGAGTTTGGGAGATGCCAGGCACTGTTCTCCACACTTTACTAATATTAACAACCCTAGAAGTTTGGCACTACTGTGGTCAACATTTTATAGATGAGGAAACAGAGTTTTGCTAATATTCTCAATGTCACAGCTGGTTAAGAGCTAGGGCTAGGATTTGGACTCGAGCAGTCTGGCCCTGGAGTCTCTACCCTACCTTGATGCTTTGCTGCCTCTCCAGATGCATAAATGGATTTCCTATCTAAAGATAAAGATGTTTTAATTTGATGGGTTCTTGAATTTTTTCATAGTCTTAGGAACATAAAACTCTTAAGGATATACAGTTTGGAGTGTTAGGAAGTCCCTGAGATTATACTTCATTTATCTTGGTAATTGCAAGGGAAGCTTCTGTAAGCCAGGCTTTTTTCTCCTTGGTTGCATAATAAGGTGATTGGCCAGCTGTCATGATAATAAATAGTTCCTATCTGTTTTTATTTATTTGAGAAAATTTTAAAATACAGAAAATTCCAGAGACTAATAAAGTAGATATCCTTGCACCTACTACCTAGAATTAAAAGAATATTAACAAAAGAATATTTGTTATATTTGAGTCAGCCTCTTTTTTTATGATAATTGATAAAATACAAATCCCATGTGTCCCTCCTCCCCTCCCCAGTGACCCCCTCAGAGCCAATCATGAATTTAGTCATGTTCTTCCAGGCCATGCTTGGAAAAAAATCTCCTGGATTTTTTTCAGGAGCTCATATTCCTTAAGTGAATGATTAGGTTCTTTCCTCACTTCTGCAAAGCTTTGGGGATGATTTAATAAGTGTATTTCTATGCAGATCAAATTCCATAAAATTTGGACCTTAAAATGAGAAGGGGCTGGCCCCATGGCCTAGTGATTGGGTTTGGCGTGCTCCACTTCGGCGGCCCAGGTTCGCAGATTCGGATCCCGGGCATGGACCTACGCCATTTGTCAGCCATGCTGTGGTGGTGAACCACATACAAAATAGAGGAAGATTGGCACAGATGTTAGCTCAGGGCGAATCTTCCTCAGCCAAAAAAAAAAAAAAAGAAGAAGAAGAGGCTGTTTCTTACCTCCAAAAAAGTAAAAATAAAACCAAAAAATCCAAAACACTTCATTTTTATCTTTGTATTCATTCATCTTTACATGTCTTGCAAGCACGTTATTTTTTAATAAATGTTATACATATATCAGAAAATGTTTTAACTATTCTAAGTGATTGTTTTTACTCATATGAAAACTGGTCATTGTTTTTATTCACGTGAAAGAAAAATTTAAAAATAATCATCACATTAAATCGTCACATTAAAAAAAAATAAGATGAAAGGTCATTCACACAACACTTCCTGTGTAATATTCTTGCCAAAAATGTATAACCTGAATCCAGTCATGAGGAAACAATCAGACAAATTCAAACTGTGGAGCATTCTTTGAAATAAATGGCCTTCAAAAATGTCAAGGTCTTGAAAGGTCAAAAAAGAGAGTGAGACTGTTCTAGATTATTAATAGAAACTAGAGTGACAACTAAATGCAATTGCCTAATCCTTGATTGGATCCAGGATCGGAAAAAGAAAACACACACAGAGAGAGAAAGATAGAGAACTATATAGGACATTATTACAACAATTGAAAAGTTTGAATATGGGTTATATATTAGATAGTTGTATTATATCAATAATAAATTTCTAGAGAGGGCTAATGTCTTTTGGTCTTAGAAGGTATATGCTGAAGCATGTCATGATATCTGCAACTTGGAAGAGTTCAGGGGAAAAAAAGTATGTGCAGAGAGAGAGAGAAAGTATTGTAAAATGTAAACAATTTGTAAAGGGTATATCAGTATTCATTGTAATATTCTTTCAACTTCTCTGTAGATTTGAAATTTTTCAAAATTTTGAATCTACAATGTTGAGAACAAAAAGGAGGGGACTAGATGAAACAAGATTGGCCCATTGTTGAAAATTATTAAAGCTGGAGATGGATACCATGGGGTTTAGTTATGCTCTTCTCGCTGTTATTGTCTGTTTGAAAATTGCCTTAATAAAGTTTTTTTGAGAAATGGTAAAATAAAGACCATTTGATGGAAATGTCATTTAACTCCCCACTTGTTTGTCTCTCTATTCCCAGTACATAGAACAGTTCCTAGCATTTGGTAGACCACATATATTTGTTAAAATTAATCATCTTAAAAGTAAGCCGTGTCCAAATCCTTTCTTTTGCTATTAACCTGCCTATTTGGAGTGTCTGGACTAATTTTATCAAGCACACAGTGTGAATTCCAGAGAGAAGTTAAGGAAGAGTAAAGCTTCTAACTGGAGCTAAATATTATTAGCAATTAAAGAATTTTCTGTCATTTAATCTCAGCCCTTCCTTAGTAATCACTCATTTTTATTTCCTTTTGCGTCCTACCCTTATAGGTACCAGTGTGCTACTACAGCAAAGTGAACGAAAGCTTGGGAGAAGTGAAATTGAGTTCCTGATTGCAGATAATCAAGGCTTCAGCTGCCCTGAAAATCAAATCCTTCACCTCACAGTTTGCGACTGTGTGGATGGCAGTGGTTGTGTAGAAGCGCTGCGTGACTCCTATGTTGGCCTGGGACCCGCAGCAATAGCGCTAATAATTTTTGCCCTTCTGCTCTTGCTACGTAAGTATCTTAAAAGCCTCTCTTTAGCTCTTTTAATAACTTAAGTGCACTACTCATGCTATGTTACTATAGTGGTGATTGATTTCTTTACAGTTATTCTTTAAGCACACAAACACTTTTGAGAGTGGGTAGGGAAACAATCACTAATCATTGATAAATTCACCAAAAGTTATTGTATCACTCTTCAGAATTTTGTTTTATAAAAACGTATCATTTTCTGATTTAAATCACCAGGGTTATTTTGCACGCTCTTCAACAACCTTTTAACATAAACCTTATTGGTGTCCCCATTTTGATAGCTCTATGAGGGAGGGATGTTGTCTGTTCTTCACTGCCCAATGCCTAGAACAGTGCCTTGCACATAGGAGGCTCCCAGAAAAGATGTGTTGCATGAATTTGGATTATGGATACAAGGTTATTTTACAAACTCAGTTTATTCCCATAGATCTTTGCTTTGCACATTCACCGGGTCAAGAGCTCTGCCTCCCAATACCCTCTGCTTAACTTGTCCCTTCACCAGTGCCAACAGTAGACAGACCCGAGCACTTCTATGACAACTACCTGCCTTCTTTGCATGCCCTCCAAAGACCTGGGGCTTCCTTTCATGAAAGAACAAAGAATGCAGCCTGGGGTCATGTGGAATACCACTCCACTTGACCACTGGACATGGGCAGAGGACCACCCCCCAGGCAGCATAGGCTATTTCAGTGACAAAGGAGGAGCTTGTCAAAGCCATTAGTAGATGCACCATTGAAGGCACAGCACTCAGCAATTTACAGTGTACTTGTATGCCATCAACTCTGTTTTATGGGTAAAAATACAGACACATAATGGTAAATGACTTGTCTCAGCTTACTGTGTTTGTAGGTGGGTAGGTCCTGGAGCTGGGACTACATCTTTTACTCGGGGATTCCTTGCGCTGCCTTCTCATCTCAGATTCCCCGGGACCTAATATGGCTCCTGGCACATGCAGACATGTGATAACTATTTGTTGAATTTGTTGAAATTGTTGAATTGCCCTGGGTTTATTTGAATCTCTTTATTACTCACAGTAGCTACAGTTACTGTGCTGTCAACTATTTTACATAAAAAGGAATCTAGGGAGTAGTCAGTTCATCATTGGAAGCTGCCAAATGGGAGTAGCAATAAAAGCTAATTTGGCGTGGACGGCTACAGGTGTAGTTAATTCTTTACTACACTGACCAAGGGGCCAGCATTGGGCTTCCCTTCCTCCTGGAGGTAGAATAAAATTTAAGGAAGGAGTTCTGATATTTTATTGAATTCTACATGAAATGTTATATATGTATATTCTAAGGGCTTTTAATACAGAATCGTTTTAGAAAATAGTACTTAGGTAATTCATAGGTTAATTGGAACCTTAGTGAGTTGCACCCTGTGCTAAATTCTACTCTAGGGTAAAGTGGTGAAGTATTATAGAAGTTCCAATGTGCTAGAATATTTGACTATATTAAAATTTTTCTACCCTTAGGAGCTTTTGATCTTTTCAACACATATATGTATATTTTTAGAGAGTGAATTTTCTCATATTAAAAATTAAAGTGATTTAAAAAAATTTAAGTCTTTAAGTTGGTTTTGATGATTTGGCTACTATCGAATCCAGTCTTAGTTTTCCACTCAGTAACTAGAGACAGCCTCCGTGGTGAACGTGGCCTCTGGATCTGTAAGACTCCCTCATCCTGCCTTCAGGCTTTTGTAGAAGTCACCCAGAACAAGCTTTTTGAGGTTGAATCAGGAGAAGAAAAGAAAAACAGAAAAATAGGTCTGTAAATAAGTGAAGACTGAACTCCAGGAAGTGATATGTGCATTCCAAAATTATGCAATATAAATTTAGAAACATGTCACGACTAACCTTCTCTGCACCCAATTTGTCTCTGTCCAGTGGTACCGCTTTTACTGCTGATGTGCCATTGTGGAGAGGGCGCCAAAGGCTTTACCCCCATTCCCGGCACCATAGAGATGCTGCATCCTTGGAATAATGAAGGGGCACCACCTGAAGACAAGGTCAGATAATCAAATATCCATGGAACTTGTCTTCTTTTCTGGTTTAAAGGGGGCTTGGGAAGTGTTTCTAACATTTTACATCGTGAGAGAGCAAAGTGGTCATTACAGATTTCATTCACATGCCTTTACTAAACAAAGGGTTCGAATGACAACATATTTTGTGTTTGTTGTCAGGGCAGAGCTGAGGTGGTTTTGCTCTACTGTGACAGGTCTCGTGTTACAGATAATGTAGGAAAAAGGTCAGGTAGTGACGCAGAGAATGCACAACAGAGGTTAGAGAGAGCAAGAGTGTGTAGGGATTTAGGGTAGGAATTTTGGTCCCAATATTAAATGGGCAGTCTTTCTCAACCAGGTGCTCCTCCATTTCCATTCTCCTTGATACACGGGGTTGGCAGAGGTATGCCCACAACCCCCGTAACAGTTGTAAAATGTTGCAAAATCCCCTTTTACCTACTTAGTAGCCATCACCCATTGTCTTTCTATTGCATCTCCACCCTGGGTCTCTCATGGGCATCTGCAGTGAGCATCATGTCTAATAGGATATGATTCAGCATCAAGTGTCAGAGAACTGAGAATAACAGTGGCTTAAATATAAACCTGGGCCGACCGGGACCAACATGAGGATGCCTCCACAACATGGCTCCAGGTTCCTCCCTTCTTGTTAGTCCCCCATGGCTCAGTTCCATTCCCATGCTGTCGTCATGGTCCAGACACTAGCTACTATCCCCACCTTCCAACTGGCAGAGAAGAGAAAAGTAGAGAACTGCTTTTGAAGAACACTTCTCAGAAGTTGCATACACCATTTCTGCTTGAAATTGCATTAACCAGAACTTAGTCAGGTGGCTATACCAAGTAGTAATGGAGGCTTGGAAATATAGTCTTTATTTGGCGCAGCCATGTGTCTAGCTATAAAAACAAAATAAAGATTTTAGAACTGCAGAAGATGCATCGAACTCTAGAGGAAAGTTGAAGCGCCATTGGTGCCAATAGAGCAAATGAGCTGAGACCATATTTAAATAATTTTTGTTTTCTCCTTGTGTTATAATCAGCTAACAAAACAAGAAGGTAGGAGGGGGATCTTCAGAATACTCAAATAGAAGTTATTCAACCCAAAATATTTTTCCTAATTTGCCCCCATGTAAATAGCTTATTCCCTTCATATGCCCACTTAGCTCACATCCTTCTACCAGCCATACTGACCCTCCATCCTTCTGACTCACTTCTCAACTGCATTTGCTCTCTTAGGTGGTACCCTCGATTGTGACAGCAGATTGCAGAGAGCTTGTAGGAGTAGGCAATGGAGTAGGAGGTGTAACAACCAAGGAGGCCACCACCAAAGGAAGTAGCTCTGCTTCCTTTACCAAAGGGCAGCATGAGATGCCTGAGATGGACGGAAGATGGGAAGAATACAGAAGCCTTATTTCTGGTGGGACTACCCAGGTTGTTAACCAGGCTGCAGGGACAACAGGAGCCATCACAGGCGCTCAAACCATAAGGACTGTAAGAGCCACGGGGGCTTCCAGAGACCTGACCGGAGCTCAGGCAACTGCTGTTGCAGTGAGCGATGAATTCTTAAGAAATTATTTCACCGAGGTAAGGATTGGTGTTTATGTACAGGAGAAAAGAAGCGGGGCCGGCCCGGTGGCGTCACGGTTAAGTGCGCGCCCTCCGCTTTGGCAGCCCAGGGCTGACCTACGCACTGCTCATCAAGCCATGCTGAGGCAGCATCTCATATAAAGTAGAGGAAGGTGGGCATGGATGTTAGCCCAGGGCCAATCTTCCTTGGCAAAAAAGAGGAGAATTGGCAACAGATGTTAGCTCAGGGCTAATCTTCCTCAAAAAAAAAAAAAAGCATTTATATATGAATGTATTATTAGGGTAATCATTGCCTTGGATCTAAATGGGACTTTGTTATTTTTTTCAAGAGAATGCTTACAGGCAATGAGGAAAGAGAGACATGACCCCCGGAATCAGTCAGTTAGCTTTAATTATGCAGAAATAGTAAATGACCCCCCCAATCTTACTTCTCGCAACAGCTTATTTCTCACTTCCATTCACATTTTTGCCAGTTGATGCAGCCTGCTCTGCTCCATGTTGTCTTCATTCCAAGACACATGCCAAGAGAGCACATTGTGCCTGGAAAGCTGCCTCTTTGGGGCACAGGGAACAGAGCAATGCAGAACCAGGCAATGTCTCCTTCGAGTGCCTTTCTGCACTCACATTTCATTGGCCAGGGCGAGTCACATGACTAAGCCGGATGTCAGTGGGTCAGAAAGTGCAATCCCTCTGCAGGAGCAGACTTGATCAGGATGGGCCTGAGGAGGGGAGAGAATATGTGACCTGAAAAACACAGTCTATTAAGTCCATTGAAATTTTCTCTTCTGAATGAGAGTACAGGGCTTCACTATTGAGGTGGTTCACAAAAATTGTGAGGGAGCTTGCAGGAAAGGTGATCAGATGCCGTCATGAAGTTCTTGCCTGGAATTAGGAATTAGAAGCAGACTGAGTGACTTTCTTGAGAACAAGGCCCCTGTGTCCCGCCTGGGGATGGGCAGAGTCGGAGTGTCGGGCACTTGCAGGACACTGGAGAGGAGTAGGGGGTGGGCTTCCATGGGAGGCCAATTTATTTCTGTCCTCTCTCTTCTAAATGGTTGCACATAGCTGGAGTGCTTCCCCAGTGTCTGCTCCCAGCCACCCTCCCTTCTTGCATACCATCTTCCGCCCACCCACCCCTGGTATTAGCTTGACAGGGAGATGGTGAGGTCAGTGTCAAGGAACACCACTTCTCATCTCTTTTCTCTCTCACTGCCAAGCTCCATTCTGGTGCCCTGTTTCTTTAATTTTGAAATATGTTTTCCCTCCAGTCAGTCTTGGTTACATATGTGTGCACAGTTTAATTTGGAAATCATTTAAAACTTATCGGAAAATTTACAAGAATAATGGAATTTTTAAACTTATGTATACTCTTTACCCAGATTACCCAATTATTATTATTATTTTGCCACATTTGCTATTTGCTTTCCCATTCTTTCCCTCATACATGCACACACACACACATTCTCTTGCATTACCACAGTTACAGTGAACAAATTTAGAGATTTAACAATGACACATACATTCCATACTTTTGTTTAGCCAATTATCACAATAATGTCTTTTATAGCCATTGTTTTTCCCGTCCAGGACCCACTTAAGGGTCCTGCTTTCCATTTAGTTGTCTTGACACTGTAGTCTCCTTTAATCCGAAACAGTCTCCTCTGCCTTTCTTTGTTTTTTATGATATTAATATTTTTTAAGAATACAGGCCAGTTATGTTGTAGGATGGCCTTCAGTTTGTGTTCCTCTGATGTATCCTTGTAATTAGATGCAGGTTATGCATTTTGGGTAGGAATATAGAGTCTTGTTTTTAAGTGAAGTTGTGTCACTAATTACATGTCTGTTTTTATTTCGGTTTTAGAAAGCAGCCTCTTACATTGAGGAAGATGACGTTCACATGGCCAAAGATTGCCTTCTGGTTTATTCTCAGGAGGAAACTGAATCTCTACATGGTTCCATTGGCTGTTGCAGTTTTATTGAAGGAGAGCTGGATGACCGCTTCTTAGATGATTTAGGATTTAAATTCAAGACACTAGCTGAAGTTTGTGTGGGTCGAAAAATAAATATAGATATGGAAATTGAGCAGAAGCAAAAGCCTGTGAGAGAAACAGGTGTGAAGACAGCTTCACATTCACTCTATGAGCAAACTAAGGTTAATTCAGAGAATGCCTACTCCTCTGGTAGTAGCTTTCAAGTTCCAGAACCCTTGCATGAAGCAAATGCAGAGAAAGTAACTCAGGAAATAGTTACTCAGGAAAGGTCTGTATCTTCTCGGCAGGGTCAAAAGGTGGTTACACCGCTTCCTGACCCATTGGTTTCTGGTAATGTTATAGTGACAGAAACTTCCTATGCCACAGGCTCCACCATGCCACCAAGTACTGTGATCCTGGGTCCTAGCCAGCCACAGGGCCTGATTGTGACGGAGCGGGTATACGCACCAGCTTCTACCTTGGTAGATCAGCGTTATGCTAGTGAGGGTAATGTCATGGTTACCGAGAGAGTAATGCAGCAGAACAAGGGAGTCTCTGGTCCTCTGGAAGGCACTCAGCACCTGCCAAATGCACAGTATGTCATGGTGAGCGAAAGAGAGAGCTTCCTTGCCCCCAGCTCGGGTGTGCAGCCCACTCTGACCGTGCCCAGTGTAGCAGTAGGACAGAACGTGGCAGTGACAGAAAGGGTGCTAATGCCTGCTTCCACTCTGCAATCCAGTTACCAAATTCCTGCTGAAACCTCTGTGACGGCCAGAAAGACTGTGGTTTCCAGAGCTGGAGTCCCTGGCCCTCCGCCAAATTCCAGTTTAGAGGAGTCTGGTCGTTCTCATTCTACTGTAACCACCTCTTCCACCAAAGTCTCCCAGCATAGCACTGTCCCGCACTCTCACTCCTAAACAGCAGTCAGCCACAGTCTGACCCAGAGTTTAGCTAGCAGGGACTCATTTCATGTTTTCAATGGACCTGGCTTTTCATGAGCCTTACAGACATAAGAGGCACATACACACTGGGCTTAAAATTTTTCTTAGTCACTTCTACACAAAGGACCTTGCTGTCTCAGCTTCCGGGAGTGTACTTCAGCAATGCTCCAGGATTTACCGAGGGCATAATGATCATGCTGTGCCTTAAGTGCCTTTTAGTGACTAAAGGCCAAACAATATTCACAAAGCAAGTTAAACAGAGAGTAAATCTGGCTTCTAGGAATTTACCAAATTAACACAGAGTATCCAGTTCAGGAGCCATCCAGGAGAGCCCCCCAGGAAATTGAGTGGGCGTCTTTGCCCACCATGTTAACCTTTAACACTGCTGTTCTATACGCCGTGCTTTACTGCACCTAGCAGATTATCAACAACTCGTTTATCCAAAGATAATGTGGACAGTCTGGGCGCCCAGTTTGTTTTTTTTCCTTAAGACTAGAGGCCTTTGAGTCTGTGTTAGGTTGACTAATTTTGGAACACTGGCATGGTAAGCACACACGTTGTACATTTCTGTGCATGTAACTGTGTGTGTGTATGTGTGTGACTCTGTGTGTGTATGTGTGTGTGTGTGTGTGTTGTATGACCTTAAAAATAGCCTTATGCCTTCCTTTTGTCTCTCAATAATCATGAAAATATTGAACACCTCAAATTCAGTTGAATAATCCAGGGCAAAATTTATAAATACAAAATCCCTTTACTTTTTATAGTGATAATATACTATAAAAATACCCTCAGGATACATTATCTTCTAACTTAGTACAGCTGACTTAACTGCTAGACTATATACACTGTGGTAAGAACCGGGCCTATTTCACTGTTGTATCTCCTCAGGGCCTAACATGGGTGCCAAATCAATATTCGTGGAATTAAACTGAATTTTAGAAGCTACTCTCTTTTATCTATCATTGCAAAAAATATTGAAAGACCCTAGAATTTTTATAATTTTGAGTTTGAAATTATGATTTTATTCTGTGTCTCAAAGTAATTCACTAGCTAGTCATGACTTACTACTGGAGTATTAAATATTATATAATTGACCTGAATTTGTACAACATCCTTGCCCTATTTTGAAAAGTCATTTGGGTATTTTGGCCAAATAAATAGATTGTATTTTTATTGCTCCTTGAAAAAATAGTCCATTTCAAGTTTCAAAGTATATGTGCATATCTGTAAGAGTTTATATAAATATTCTCCACAACAAAATAATTTTCAACAATTTTAAAGACTACGTAATTTTGTGATTTTTCAAGATATTTTGCTAGGGAAATGAATCTTTAAAAATTCATTGTCTACATATTTTTTAAAATGTTGACTTGAATTGTGTGTGCAAAGGATTTATACTTTTTGCTCCTACTAACTCTGTATGGGTAAAAGGCAAATATGTTTAGACACCATAAGTGTGTGGCCAAAATGAAGGTCACTCTTGCGTGGCCTAAACCTTTTACTCTCTACTTAGTAATAGTTGTTGCGTTTTTTTTCTTTATAGACTTAGTAGTTATATTTTACCAAGTATGTAACAGGAATATCACTACTGTGTGAAAATGTAAATATGACCTATGTACTCCGAACAAACAAAACTTGGTCTTAAACGTCCTCCTTGTGCAGGCTTGAAAAACCTAGCCTGTCTCTTGTATATCACATTTTCTAAATGGTTTTCTTTGTACTTGAAAGGGTGATTTGTATTAGTTTTTACATTTGTTCCTTGGGAGATTATATTCGTATGTGTATCATCAAAATATTTAAATAAAAAGATGACCTTTAGAGCAACCCTTTGCCCATATCTTTTTATTGCTCCATCATATTTTACAAGGAATTTAGCTGGTTGTTAGAGGAGGAGACAACACCCTGAAGGCAGGTATTTATTGGACTTTGGTATCTTAATTAGAACTGCTTACATCCGGTTCAGCCAGCCTCCTTGGAAGAGCATATTTCCCTTCCCAAGTAGGGTAGAACACAAGAAGGCCCAGTTAAATTTGAGTTTCAGATTAATAATGAGTAGATTTTTAGTGTATGTCCTATAGTAAAAAATTATCTGTTATCTGAAGTTCAAATTCAACTGGGCGCTCTATTTCTATTTGTCAAGTCTGGCAACCTTGTTCCTAAGAGACTGACATTTTCTCTCCGCTCAGAAAGTAACATTGGAGGAACCTGTTGGGTTTGGCTAAAGAAGCCTTGCACTTCTGACCCAAAGAGATGAAATCATTCAACCAACATTGAGAAGCTGTTTTAGTTGCTTGTTAGAGTTTACAAGGGAAAAGATCAGAGTTTCTGCCTATACTATAATGGCACATTAATAAATATTTCACAACACTGGCCCATAGAGACATCCCAAAGCATGAAGACTGTGTGATATTTCAGTATGCAGTGGCACCTGGGAGCAACTTTTGGTTGATTTCATGAATCTCTACAGACCATATTCCAATCATCACTACCTCAAAATTCATACAATAAGACATTGCTTATCAAGTACCACCTAGAAATGAGGTATTTCAGATAACAACTTTCAGATAATTAAGACTTCTTTAACATAGCAAAATTTCTTGATTTCACTATTTTAGTGAAGTTCAAATCTGCTATATCAGTATTGATTTTTTTTTTGTCTACTTTTTCTGTTAATTGCTGAGAGAGATGTTAAAATCCCCAACTGATTGTGACTTTGCCTATTTCCTTTTTAATTGCTTCTACTTTTGCTTCCTTTATTTTGAAATTTGGTATTCCTGTGTTATTAGGTACAAACACATTTAAGATTCTTGTGTCTCCCTAAAGAATTGACCCTTTTATCATTATGGGATGTCTCTCTTTATCTCTGGTTATATTCTTTGTCTTGAAATCTGCTTTGCCTAACATTAATATCACCACACCAGCTTTCTTATGCTTGGTGTTTGCATGGGACATATTTTGACCCTTTTACTCTCAATCTGTCTATGCCTTTATAATGTGTTTCTCATAAATATATAGATAGGTCTTGCTTTCTTGTCCGTTTTAACAATTTCTGACTTTTAATGGAATGTGTTCGTCTATTTACAGTAATTATTCATACGGATGGCTTTAAACCTACTATCTTGGTATTTGTTTTCAGGTATGGTTGGTTCCATCTGTTCCTTCCTTTCTCTGCTGCTTCTTTCCTCGGTGTGTTGCGTTTTCTAGAATTCCACTGTCACTCCTCGACTGACCTTTTAACTATACCTTCATGTGTTTATTTTTTAACCGGTTGCTCTTGTTGCCAAAATCTAATTAAAAACAAAATCTCTTGTCAACCTGGAAAAACTCTCCACAAAGGTAGAAGAGAAAGAAAACAGTTTTATTATCAAATAAGCATTAAGCCAGAATGTGATGTGTGTCACAGGCAACTCTAAAGAAATTGCAAAGACAGAAAGAAATCTCACCTTTTTGTATAGGCAGGCAGATGCAACCCATTACATACAGGTGCACAAGATAAACGATAACTCGTCCTGAAGCAAGACTTGCCAGCACCATTTGTCATATACAGCTCATCTTAAATTCACCTGGTAATTGAGGTGGCCATTGTGCTTGCTGATTGCCTTTATCCAAAGAAATAACAGAACTTGTTATATCTCTGTGACAGGTAGCTAGCTAGTTGCAATTCGGAGGCAGGCATCCATGGAGAAGGAGAGACAGGTGTGCTATCTTCCTTGATGTTCACATCTCTGATGTTCAAAGAGATGGCTCCCAGGTCCTCGAGAAAGACATTCCTGCTTATAAACCTAGCTAAAGGCTCATTTAGTTTTAAAAAGATTTATATACCATCTGAAAGGGGCAGAGACAGAATGAACAATTACAAGTTTTCTAAAGTAAAAGCTCTAAGAAAGGGGAGAGAGAAGGAAAAGTCTCTCCCTTTTTGCACCAGGAAAATTTCTATTTTTTATTTTTTAGATTTGCACTTACCCTAATACTCTAGGGCTATACTCTATGTGGCAAGTGCCTACCAACTGGATAGCACAGATAGAGAACATCTATCTCATGGAAAGGTTTTTTGGAGCATAGCCCTAGAAATTACAATATACGTCTTTAATTTATCACAGTCTACCTTCAAATGTTCTAATTCACTGACAATGTACACAAATCTTGAGCTTCTGCTTTGTGGATCTTGCTATGTCACTACATCTCTGGCCTTCCTCACACCCGTACTCTAATCAAGAGGCCCTCAAACGTTGCCTCCTGTCCCCCACACCTTCCTTGATACCCCTGCCCCATTGGCTATAGCGCGTTATTGGCATGAATATTCTGAAACCTGTAACAAGTCCATTAGTGAGTGGAAATGAACTCATTGTTCCACAGATTACAGAATTTCCACCAACCCACAAGCCAAGTTGAAGAAAATGAGAGGAGCAATGTGTACTTCTATTAAAAATCCAGATATGCCCTGGGCTGCAGATTTTCCGTTTGCCTCTTCATATCCACTCTCCACCCTTTTCACGCTGCTCTAAGACCCAGGAGCTCATCCTTTTTGGATGCTTCAACAGGTATCCTTGCCCTCTGGCTTCTAGCTGACCTTCGTCAGTGGGAGGCATTGACTAGAGATAGAGGAGAAGGAAAGAAAGAAGATGAGGGCATTTCTTCCCCTGTCTCCCTTTGCCAGGCATCTCTCTCTATACAGCCACTCCCTTTCTGAGTTCTAGGGCCCACTCTCTCTCCTTGCTCCTTGAGGCCTGTTTGGTAGTGATTGCCTCTTCCTCAACTGTTGCCAGACTCAGGGTCCTGGAGTGTCCCTTGAGGTTTCCCTCACCTGCCTCACCTTTTGTATATGATCCATTAAACTCTCCTCACTTCTGTCTGCCTCTGCCTGGAACACTCACTGACTCAGGCATTTAGCTGCTAAATGATGACTCATTTTTAGTCATTAAAAAAAAACCTTTTAAAAATCCTGTTGTATCAGTCTGCTCGGGCTGCCATAACAAAGTACCACAGACTGGGGGGCTTACACAACAGACGTTTATTTTCTCACAATTCTAGAGGCTAGAAGTCCAAGATCAAGGTGTCAGCAGGGTTGTTTTCTTCTGAGGCCTCTTTCCTTGGCTTGTAGATGGCCATCTTCTCCCTTTGACTTCACATGGTCTCCCCTCTGTACGTGTCTGTGTCCAAATTTCCTCTTCTTATAAGGACACCGGTCATATTGAAATAGGGCCCATCCAGATGACCTCATTTTAACTTAATTACCTCTATAAAGACCTTATCCCCAAATATAGTCACATTCTGAGGTGCTAGGGGTTAGGACTTCAACATAGGAATGTTGGGGGAGCACAACTCAGCCCATAACCTCCAGTAAACAAACAAACAGACTGAGCTTGAAAAGCTGCACTAGTTCTTCCCATGAAAGTTACAAATTCCTTTATCTAACTCTTTGGTTAATTGTTAATACAAATTGCTTGTCACAGTGATAAAATTTAAACCTGAGTTGAAAGCAGCCTGAGTGAAGAGACTGCAGAGTCTCTGTTGAGCCTTTAGAGAAACCTCAAAAGTAATCAAAGCAAAGGCAGACCTGGTTGCACAGTCTCTCGGGCTGCGGACCTAAGCATTGTTGACAGCAGCTGACATTCCCCCTCAGCGGCAGCGACCACGTGCTTCACGTTGCTCTTCAGTTTCCTCGGAGGCTTTCACTGCACACGCACCACAAATGACTCCTCAACTAAGCGTGGGGAAGCATGATGAGCCTCTCCTTTAGAACTAGAATTCTAATCTTTAGAATTCTAAAGATTAATT